CAAAACCCCCTTCCCCTCCCCCTTTTCTGATGAAGGGTCTAGGCCCGAAACGTCAGCCTCTCTGCTCCTATGATGCTGCTTGGCCTGCTGTGTTCATCCAGCCCTGCACCTTGTTGTCCCGGATCTGAAAAGTGGTTCGTTTTCTGTCAGATTGTCCTCGGGCTCTCAAAAATGCTATAAGAATGCAAATTTTTATTTTTGTTATTTACTGAATACTGTAAAGTCACTTATGGTACACTGAGTTGCTGCTGTCGTTTTGGTTTTTTGATCTTGACTATTTTAGTTTCTTTCAGGAACAATGAAGGACAGACTCGAAGAATTGATAGAGCGTTCAAAATTTTACCATCAGCAGGCAGAGGCCGAAGATGAGGTGGATTGCGCTCATGAAGGCTTGGTATTTGAATGTGACTTCATTCTGCAGATGCTTCAGAAAGAAGTGCAACAAATCCGAGAAGAAAATGGGCGCCTGAAAGTGGACATTAAACGTCTTGGAAAGCAGAACACTCGCTTCCTGACCTCAATGAGACGTCTCAGCAGCATAAAACGAGATTCAAACTCCATTGCCAAAGACATAAAGAGCCGGGGAGAGAAGATCCAGCGGAGGTTGCAGGACCTGAACAATTACATCAATGAGATTAAGAACACACATGGGCCTAATGCTGCCATTGTTCGTATCGCCCAGGCACAGCACTTTGTTCTGTTGTCCGCTTTCCATGATGCCATGTTGGAGTACAACAAGGAGGAGATGAAGCAGCGGGAAAACTGCAAGACTCGGATCCAGCGGCAGCTGGAGATCATGGGAAAAGACATTTCCAACAACGAGATGGAGGAGATGATAGAGCAGGGGAAGTGGGACGTGTTCTCTGGGAACCTGCTGAGTGAAGTGCGAGGGGCACGGACCGCTCTGTCAGAAATTGAGCAGCGGCACCGAGAACTGCTGAAGCTGGAGTGTCGAGTCCGTGAGATCCATGACTTGTTCCTGCAGATGGCGCTGTTGGTGGAAGAACAATCAGAGACCCTCAACAACATCGAGGTAAATGTGCAGAAGGTTCAAGATTATGTAGGTGAGGCTAAAGTGCAGCTGAAGAAAGCTGTGGAGCACAAGAGGAACAACATTTGTCGAAAGATTTTTTGTTGTTGCTGCCCCTGATGGAACATGTGCCAGCGCCCATCTGTGCCTGGTGTCATTAAGTCAACCCAGCAAAATACTCTCATCTCCAAAGAAATGCTTTCTCATTGAATGTTGCATCAAAAGCCGGAAATCTAAATGGGATTTTGTCCCATTCTACCAGAGACCACACCAGTTAGAAAGGAATTGTATTGCTAAGTTTGCTTTACCTCCTACAGCTGCACATCAGGGCGCCCACTCTCCCAAATCAAACACTCCTTCCAATTGGCATATTTCCAAATCTCCAAAATTTTTGGTTCATCATCTGAAGTTACTCAAAAGCTAGGCTTTTATCATAGACCTGCAGTTGTTTGTCTCCATTCTAGACTGAAACACAGGGATGCATCATGTTGAAAATCCTCCACCAATCAAGACGACTGAAGTTTTCTTCCGTACCCAGAACAAGGGGTCAAGGGCCCTTTCCAGTTCATCCAAGAAGATGGTGCTAAGGTTTTCCTGTGGTCAGCTTGACCCCTGCTGTTAATCAGCAGTGCTTTCAACTCCATAAAGAGTTTTTTCTTCATAGCTGAGGTTGGGTAAATTCCATTATGTGTTTAGAACAAGGGCTCTTTTGTGCTTCAGGTTTTAGCTCCAAGCAACTCTCAGTTTTTACTTTTCCTACTGAATCTTTGTTTCCTTATTTTGGTCAGAGAAAAGTTGGTGTCAGAGGTGAGGGCAGAGAATAAAGAACAGGTGGAGAGATTATAAATATCTGTACTATGTGGCATTTTCAGCTGATCACCCCCTCCTTCTAATCTTCACCTCCAGAGCTGCAGGACACTGATAGGTGCTGAAATGAAAGTGCTCACAAACAATAAGATTACAGGAATATGGTGATAGAGGGCACAAATTCAAATCCCAGCAATACTAAATTATAAAATTGCATTGGATAAATTTAAAACAAAGAAATTAAGGTTCTGGAAACCTAAAACCAGAAGAGAGAGATTGTTAGAAAAACTGAGCAGCATTTGTGGAGCGAAAGTAAAGTTAACGTTTCGGGTCCAGTGAGTCTCTTTGAGAACAGTGACTCCAGAGTGATTCAGGCCGACTGGCAATAGTGAGAGTTCTGGATGTGGCTGAACGAATCCCACCTTAATGTAACAACACAGGCTGCAAATGTAACCATCCTCCCAGGCTCCATATGTTGATTGATTAGCCTGAAACTGTCTGTTTTAAGTCCTTGCTAATCAACCAAAGGCAATAGAAAGAATGTTGAGAGAGAGCAGATTGGAGACTGCATTCATCTCTTTCTCCATGATTAATAGACTGGTCCATGGGAGTTTACTAATAGAAGTCAGTTCAACCCTCATAAACAGTGCCTGAGATAGAGGGTGATTTGTTTCCATTCTGGTAAGATGCATTCTGAAATGCTGATAAGTCCAATATCCAATCTGCCAACTCTGACACGTTCTCAAAGGGTCAGGTAGATGGGGGCACAGGTGGCACAGTGGTTAGCACTGCTACCTCACAGCGCCAGGGACCCGGCTTCGATTCCAGCCTCGGGAGACTGTCTGTGTGGAGTTTGCACAATCTCCCTGTGTCTGCGTGGGTTTCCTCCAGGTGCTCTGGTTTCCTCCCACAGTCCAAAGATGTGCAGGCTAGATGGATTGGCCATGCTAAATTGCCCATAGTGTTCAGGGATGTTTAGGTTAGGTGAGTTAAACATGGGGAATGGGTCTGCTCTTCAGAGGGGCAGTGTGGACTTGTTGGGCTGAATGGCCTGTTTCCACACTGCAGGGATTCTATGAACTATGAGTGGCTTGGAGGATTATACACTCTCTCTGACACCTCAACTTTGCTTCTGCGTGCTCCCAATCTCATATCTTAAAATGTTCAGTCCCTTCCTGAGCAAACCTTCTCTGTTTAGGTTGTTCACAAGCCTGGGATTTTGAAGAGTTGGCGGGGGATTCCTGCCCTTTTCGGGAACGCTTTGAGGACATCCTAGGAAAGTTTTTGTTGTCCTCCTGGGGGTCTCCAGCCATGTGTGAGTGATTTCTGAGTCAAACAGTTACTTCAGGGAGTTTAGTGTCCGACACACAGCCAACATGTCCTGCCCAGTGGAGCTGCATTTGAACGATTAGTGCCTTGTTGCTGGGCAGGTTGGTTTAGGAGAGGACAATGCACTTGCCACTGGATTTGAAGGATCTTGTGAAGGCATTGATGTGGATTTCCCTAATACTTCATTGTGCTTGCTTTAAAATTTCCAAGTCTCCCACAATCATAAGCACCTCACCATGTTGTAGTAGCTTCATGCAGGGTCAATTTTAAAATTCAACAGGCAATGGAAGGGAGGTGTTTCTGCTTCTAGTCAGAATCTTACTCCAGGTCTGTCACTACTGATCTCACAGCAGTATAACTTCGGTCTCACTTGAGGCATTCATGGCACTAGAGGCTCTGTTTCAGATTCTAGTTTAATGTTCAAGGCTGTTCCAATCAGAATCAAAACAAACATTACGTTTCGAATTGATCCGTGGTCAAAAGCTGTTTTGTAAAAAAAAAGTTGTAATTAATAGGTGTCTGAGATTGATGTAGGAAGAGGAGAAGCATGATTTTAATACATAAAAAATTATTCATGTTCGTGGTATCTGCAAAATACATCTCACCATCCGCAACAAACCTGATTTCTTTCTATGAGTTTGGATTTCTGATCCAGAAAATATTTTGTTTTCAATAAAAAAGCAGGAGACATTCAATATCATTAACTTTCATTTCTGGACAGGGAGAACATGAACATTTTTACACTGTATTGTAAATATTTATAGATATTGCGTTTATTCATAAAACTCTGAATACAAGTCTGATCCTTAGTTTTTAACTTTATTGTGTGTAATCTTCTTTAAACTCTAGCTAAAAATACAACACCCAGTTGCTTTGAAATTAAAATACTTCTTTTAAAGGAGACTAGTTTTTCTACTAATTCATGTTGCGATATCCCTGCCCCAGTAACTAAGAATCATTCATTTTAGGAAATTACAATGATGATATAAGGTTTCTGTTTTGAACATTACTACCTAGTGATGTTCAAAACAGAAACTTTATACCATCATTGTAATTTCCTAAAGTGAATGATTCTTAGTTACTGGGCAGGGATAACTGCATCACCAAAATTTATCTCCGGTCACCAATTTCCTCTTCATAATGTGGTTTTGTTGGAAATGGGTGCCTATAATGACTAAACAGCAAACCCTAGGAATTTCTCCATCAATGTCATTCTCTTTGAGAAACATTTGCTTCAAAAACCTGACATCCCTGAGTAAAGATGTGAAGCTTGTCTGGAGTATCTGGAGAGGACATTACAGCAGGTGGGCTAACATTAAGCACTAGGAGAGAGTTACTAACCACAGACATAGTCTGATCTGTGGACTATATTTTTCATCAATTCGTTTTGTTTTACTGTTTTCCCAATGGGAAAGAGGTAGACAGTCCAGGAAATACTTCTGTTGTGTGACAGTATGATAATTTCTTTTCATCAGGGTATTTTTATTATGTAAGTGAGCTAAATTTATTAATAAAATATTTTTATTCAATCCAAAGACAACTATGAGTGTGTTTCTGTCTTTCCTCTGTATTTAAAGCAGAGATTGGTGACAGGTGGGGATACGGGGTGATGTACAATGTTTCAGCTGCAATTCAGATCTATGTGCTTCACAAGAAGTGCTACCTATTAAAATAAATACAGTCTAACCACACATAGACAACTACAAACTGTCAACATATAACTGTACTTAGTAAACTTGAAGCACCTTCTAAACACCCACCCCCTACACATGCATACAGTGAAACAAAAACAGTGGTTTTATAGACAGAAGGGGAAAATAACTGCAATCACAGTTCAATAGCACCAATACATGGGGTTTACTGAGATGATCCTTTTATTTGGCAGCACTTTCTGTTCTTCAATCTCTTTCTCCAGGTTCCTTTCACTTCTTTGGAGGTAGCACAAGGTGATTTGTACATTAACTGCAAACTCTCTTAGGTCACAGCTTACAGCAACTAGTGGGACAAAATAACTGGCTTACTTCGGAATCAGGAGCTTTTACTGTACACAGAATCACCATGTCTCCTAGCAGTCTGAAAAGTATTCACTGTGTCCTTCAAATCCAAGTTGTTCAGCTGTTGAGGAACCAATCAGAGTTGTCATCAGGCTGATGACCTTTGGCATCCTCAACTGGTTACAATTCCTCAAGTAAATCAGCAATCTTTTTCCAGCTGAGTCTTGCTTCGCAAACTCACCCCAGTGCCATACCATCTTTCCCTGCACCTTCCCTCATTGCTTGCAAAGCAACAGTGTAAACATAACTTAGAATGAGTTTCAGTAACATGCTATACAAAAGTCCAGTACCTGCCTTGGTCTTTTGTTGTAAAACAATCCTTTTCCCAATTCAGTCCACAATCAAGATAAAATCAAGTGATACAGTGTTTAAAACGAAATATTGAATAGTGTGGAGGAACAGAGGGACGTTTGAGTCTGTGTTCACAGATCTCTGAGGATAGCAAGTCAAGTCAATATGGTGGTTAAAAAGATAGATAGGATGCTTTCCTTATTTAGCTGAGGCACAGAATATAAAATCCAATAGGTTGTACTCAAACAGTATGCAATACTGTTTAGTCCGCAGCTTGAGTATTGCAAATCTGGTCACAACATCATTATTACAAGAAAATTCTGATTGCACTGCAGAGGGTGCAAAGGAAAGTAAGATAATTAGTATTGGATAAAATGTTATTTATACTTATCCATGAGTTGAGATATTATCTTCTGTCACTAGTCATTGATATTCATCAAGTTCTCTTGACCTGTTGAACTCAGGTTTCTGATTTTTTTTAATCACCTCTGAAAGTTCAGTGCTACATTTTGAATTGTCCAGTTCAACTGATAACGATGTTCCTTCAGCCAGTTAGCTCCCTGGACTATGGGCCCCACTTCTCCCCATCACTCCTTTAAAATGTTCCCTAAGATTCACCAAGCTTTTCATCACCCTTCATCATATTTCCACCTCTGATATGATATCTGGTTCTGTCTCTGAAGCAGATTTTCTCCATGTGTGTGACCAGATATACTGCAACAAGTTTTCCTTTGTCCCACAGCATAATTCATAGGATAGCAAGAGAGAAAGGAAGACCTTGACTGATTCTCCCAAGTCTCCCTGTGGCTGCTAAGGTTGAGGCAACTCCTTACAGCTTGATTAGAACAAGGTATCTCCTCTACAACAAACTGCTGACAAAGTCCAACACTGGCACCTCCATATCACAAACTATTGAGGGGAAGAGAAACTGCACATTTCACTTTGTCTCGGAAGTTTCACTGATGTGGATGTGTGTCTCAATGCTAACAACGATCAGGAAGCAATTAATAAACTGCTCATGTAGCCTGAACAGTTTTTATCGATTTTAAAATACCTTGGGGAAGTCTTATCTTTAAAGTGCAGACAAGGTAAGGGGGTCACAGCCAATCAGATAGCAGGCAGCTAGGGTACGTGCCTTCAGGCTATGAAAGTGACTCTGCAAAGTTGTGCTGGTGTTATGTTGATTTGTTGTGTCAGTTCTCTACATTCAGTACCAATGAGAAACAAACTGAAAAAGAAGCAGGAAACATGTTGGTTTTCACTCATCCATGCAGCTGGTACAATTTGTGTCAAATCTGTGGCTGATGATGTGACATTGCAAACTAAGTTTATTTTGCAGGCATACACATACTTTTAGTGATTACTGTGCAAGATGCATTTCAACTAAATGTCAATGCTTGTGACAGATTGTGTTCAGATGAAAGATATGTTACTGCAGTATTTACAGCACAGAAACAGGGTATTTGTCCCAACAAGACTATACTGGTTTTTCTGCTCCCCATAGGCCTTCTCTGACCTCATTTCATTGAAACACATCTCCATATCCTCTTATTTCTTTCCCTGTTGTGTGAATATTTGATCTCCCTTTAAGTGCATCGATACAATTCACCTCAACTACTTCTTGTGGTAGGAAGTTCTACATTCTCATCATTCTTGACGTAAAGACATTTCTCCTGAATTCTTTTCTGGGTTTATTGGTGATTATGTTACAGTTCAAGTGGCAAACAGTATCATGATATGTCCCCTATCAAAACCTTTCATAATTGTACAGATCTTAATCAGGCCACTGCTCACTGTCAACAGATGTGAAGCTGCAAAAGCACAGCAGGTCAGACAGCATCCAAGGAGCAGGAAAGTCAACGTTTCAGGCTGAAACTCTTTGTCAGAACAGGGGAGGGCAGGGGAACCCAGAAATAAATAGAGGGAGTGGGATGGGGCTGGGGGAAGGGTAGGTGGATGCAGGTAGGAGGTTATTGTGGTTGGTCAGTGGGAAGGAGCAGATAGGAGAGTAGGAAGATGGACAGGTTAGGTCAGGTCAGGGAGGCGAGGAGGAGGGGGAGGGCTGGACATAGGATAAGGCTGGGGATGGAGGGATTTTGAAGCTGGTGAAGTCAATATTGAGGCCATTGGGCTGTAAACTCGCAAGGTGAAATATCAGATATTGTGCCTCCAGTTTACGTTTGGCCTCACCCTGACAGTGTAGGAGGCCAGGGATGGACATGTCGCCAGGGGAGTGGGAGGGGGAAATAAAACGGATGGCAACCGGAAGTTCGGATTGGTTGGTGCATACAGAGCGCAGATACTCTGCGAACCAGTCCCCGAGTCTGCGTTTGGTCTCCCCAGTATAGAGGAAACCACATCAGGAGCAATGGATACACTAGATCAGGTTGGATGAAGTGCAGGTGAAGCTCTGCCGGATTTGGAAGGATTCTTTCGGGCCTTGGGCAGAGGTGAGGGGGAGGTGTGTGGGGGCAGGTGTAGCACTTACTGAGGTTGCAGGGAAAGGTACCAGGTGTGGTGGAGGGGTTGGAGGGGGGCATGGAGCTGATGAGGGAGTTGCGGAGTGAACGGTCCCTGCAGAAAGCAGACAGGGCTGGGGAGGGAAATATCTTTCTGGTGATGGGGTCCCATTATAGGTGGCAGAAATGTCAGAGGATAGTGCATTGTATTCGGGGTTGATGGGGTGGTACGTGAGGGCTAAGGGGACTCTATCCTTATTGTTGTTGGGTGGAGGGGATTTGAGGGCAGAAATGTGGGAAGTGGAGGAAATGCAGTTGAGGGCATCCTTAATAACTGATAAGGGGAAGCTATGGTCCTGAATGATGAGGATATCTGGGAAGTCCCAGAGTAGAATGCATCTTCCTGGGAGCAGATGCTGTGGAGGCAGAGGAATTGTGAGTATGGGATGACATTTTTACAGGAGGGTGGGTGAGAGAAGATGTAGTCGAGGTAGTTGTGGGAGTCCACGAATCCTACAAAGAGACAGGCATAGCTTGGGCCCATGCAGGTGCCCATAGCCACCCCATTGGTTTGTAGGAAATGGGAGGAATCCAAGGAAAAGTTGTTGAGGGTGAGGACCAGTTCCGCCAAGTGAATGGGAGTGTCAGTGATGGGGGACTGGGTGGGTCTAGAAGCAGAGGGCTTTTAGGCCATCCTCATGGGGGATACAGGTGTATAGCGACTGATTGTCCAAGGTGGAGATGAGGCATTGGGGGCCGGGGAATTGAAAGTTTTGGGAAAGGTGGAGGGCGCGGTTTGTGTCTCGAACATAGGTAGGGAGTTCCTTGCCTGAAGGGGAAAGAATGAAGTCGATGAAAGAGGAGATGACCAGGAGCAGGTAGAGATAATGGGTCACCGGTGCGGTCAGGTTTATGGATTTTAGATAGGAGATAGAAACAGGCGGTGCTGCGTTGGGGAATTATCAGTTTGGAGGCTGTAGATGGGAGATCTCCTGAGGTGATGACGTTGTTGATGGTCTAGGTGATGACAACTTTGTGATCAGAAGTTGGGTCATGATCAAGGGGACTGTAAGAGGTGGTGTCAGAGAGTTGGCGTCTGGCGATGTAGAGGTCATATAGTTTCCCGCCCCTCCCCACCCTCATTGGTGGATTTATTGGTGAGGTTGCGGTTGGAGCAAAGGGAGCAGAGGGCCGTGCATTCTGATGGGGAGAGGATGGCATAAGTGAGAGGGGTGGAGAGATTCAGGCAATTGATGTTGTGGCAGCAGTTGGAGAAGAAGAGGCTGAGGGAGGGTAGGAGGCCAGGAGCGGGTGTCCAGGAAGATGGAGTTTGTTTGAAGCAGGGGAAGAGGTTGTCAGAGGGTGGGTTGGATTCTCTTTGAAAAAAGTAGGTGCAGAGGCAGAGGCGGTGGAAAAAGAGCTTGACGTCGAGGTGTGTGTGGAATTTGTTCATGTGTGTGCAGTGGGGGATGAAGGTGAGTCCTTTGCTGAGGATTGACCACTGTACTCTTCCCTTTTCTTGAAAAAAAGCTTTTTCCCCATATTCTACCTTCCAGTCCTGAAGGTGCAGTCTTTTCTTCAGACTGCATCACTCCAGTATCTTATCCCACTGCTTAGGTGGCATGGTGGCTCAGTGGTTAGCACTGCTGCTTTACAGTGCCAGGGCCCTGGGTTTGATTCTGACTGTCTGTGTGGAGTTTGCACATTCTCCCTGTGTCTGCTTGGGTTTTCTCTGGGTGCTCTGGTTTCCTCCCACAGTCCAAAGATGTACAGGCTAGGTAGACTGGCCATGCTAAATTGCCCTGTGGTGTTCAGGGATACCTAGATTGGGGTGGGATGCTCTGAGGGTCAATGTGGACTTGTTGGGCCAAAGGGCCTGCTTCCACACTGTAGGGGTTCTATGTCTTTTGTGTGTAACTCTCCATAATAGCGACATTAACATTTTCCTTAATAATTTAAATAATTTTGCTGCAATGACTACAAGGTAATGGAATATCCTGGAAATGAAAAGGTATAGAAATTATTAAAGTTGATATAAATGTTCAAAAATATTAACTGATGCTGACTGCAAACAGCAGGGTGTTTTTAATATGTAACAAAATGTAACAATTATCCCAATGTACCAAATCAATCCGTAAGTACTACAATTTCTCAGTTCACTGTCCCAGAATAGATTTCCAAACTTGCTTACAGATTGTGTTTTTCACCATTTCCTGTGAATTATCAATGTATGTTTAGGCTAACAGCGATTAAAGTGGTACCTGGTCCTTGTGACTATCTTTGGCACACAGTGGCAGCAGTTTATTCAACACTGCAGCATCTTGCCAAGGCTCCTTCGGGAGCAACTTCCAGAACTGCAGCATCTACCATCTTGAAGGATAAGGGCACTAAGCATATGGGAGCACCACCAGCATTAAAGTCACACACATTCCTAACTTGGAACTATACCATGGCTCTATCACTGTGACAAGATCAAAATCCTTGACTGTCTCCCTCCCTCCCAGATAGTGTCCAAGCACACAGACTGCAGTGGTTCAAGAAGGATTATCCTTCTCAAGGCTGATTAGGAATGGGCTATAAGTGCTGGCGTAGTTCAAGCCATGACTAACGCTTTACTTAAAATACTTTATTTTCATCACATTAAAATTTGGAACCAGATTCTGCTGACTCGGTCTCTTACGTGATGTGGTTTGATGCCACACTTTGTGCTTGTGTTCAATACAAAGTGAGCAAGGAGAAGACAAAGAATGTCTTCAGACTGAGACTTCAAAGTAACACTGTCTGTTATACATTAATATGATATACTGCTGCATGTGGTAATCATTTTTTATTTCAAAAATATACTTTATTCACAAAAAAACTTTTTAGATATACAATAGACACAAACACAGTTCAGTTCTGCACAGTATCATACTAATGAAACAAACAAACATTGGAATTTGACTGAATCCAAACAAGCCAAATACATCTCTTACACATACAAGATTATATTTATATGTATTTGAGGGTCTAGGAGGGTCCAATAACTGAACAGACCCCCATTTAACTTCAGCAGGAAGTCCTCAGATAGTGGTCTTTCCCCACTGCAGCTGCCCCAAGCTTTAGAGCGTGTCTCAGCCAAGAGCTTTTTTTTATAAACACAGTTCAGTTCTGTACAGTATCATATCAAGGAAACAAAGAAAGATTGGAGTTTGACTCTAACCAAAAAAAACCAAAGGCATCTCTTACACATACAAGACAATATTTGAGATATACCAGGCTCTGACTTTAATTAGGTAAGCACTAATCTGTCTTCATGTGTCCTGTGTGAAGGCTCACTCATTGGTGGTGGAGGTCTGGAATTTGCTGCCCACATTGGCGTTTAAGACATAAACCTCAACTCATTTAAAAGGAACCGGAATTTGCTCTGGAAATTCTGTAACCTGCCAGTCTATGGAACAGTGGCTGATTGTTGTGATTAAAGTGAGCAGTTAGTTTATTCAGTCATTACAGACACAATAGGCCGAGGCCTCCTCCAGTAGAATAACTTTTCCATGGCGAGTCTTCCAGCCTAGATTTTGCCATCTACTAGTGTTCTTCCAGAATGTTCTAACGAGGCTAACTCAGTAGCTTTCATATTCAATGATGTGCAACTCCATGACATCCTTGTATGGAGCTGGAGGAACACAGCAGGCCAGGCATCATCAGAAGAGCAGGAAAGTTGATGAAAAGTTTTCTAAAATCCATGCGCAACATGGTCCTCTTCAAGTAACTGACCAACTCCTTCACATCTGCATTTCCCCAGCTTCCATTTACCCAAATAAACAATGAGGTAGAAGACAAGAATACTAAATAAGCAAGGGGCAAAGGAAATAAAGGAGAGGAAATAAATGCAGTAACTGTCACTCGAGAAAGTTATTAGGAAAGAAGGCGGCTAAAGATTGATAGGTCCTTGAACTTGATGGGATGTATCCTAGGATATTAAAGCAAGGCCCTTTTAAAACAGACGCAGGGGCAATGTGATTTTAAGTTCATGGTGGCTCAGTGGTTAGCACTGCTGCCTCATGGTGCCAGGGACCTGGGTTCAATTCCACCCTTGAGTGACTGCCTGTATGCAGTTTGCACGTTCTCCCTGTGTTTGTGTAGATTTCTACTGGGTGTTCTGGTTTCCTCCCATAGTCCAAAGATGTGCAGGTTAGGTGGATTGGCCATGCTATATTGCCCCATAGTACTCAGGGATGTGTAGATTAGGTGGGGTAGGGGGATGGGGTTGGATGCTGTTCAGAGGGTTGGTGTGTATCTGTTTCCACACTATGGGGATCCTATGAAACCTGTTGAACTATAGCCTGGTATTGTATGACTTTTGAAACAGAGATGAGAAGAAATTTCTTCCCTGAGGGCAGTGAGTCTGTGGAATTCTTTACCATATAGAGGGCTATCAAGACTGGGTCATTAAATATATTCAAGGCTGAGATATACAGATTTTTAATCAGTAAAGGAACCAACTTTTATAGGGAGGGAAAAGATAGGAGAATGAAGCTGCAAATTGTCAGATCAACTGTGATTCTCATTGAACAATGGGACAACTTGATGGGCTGAATGGCCTACTTCTGCTCCTATATTTTAAAGTCTTTTGGTTACAGAGACAAACTTTTTGATTGATTGATTGATTTATTGTCACATGTACTGAAGTACAGTGAACAGCTTTGTTTATAAGCTGTACGGGCAGATCACAGTAAGCAAAGGATGTACAGATCAAAAGGACTTAGACAGAGGCGTCCAAGTTACATTGCACAGGGCATGCACTCGGTGAGATCAATGTTAGCAAGATCAGCGTTATTTCAGGCTACAGCGTCCATTCATTAGTCTGATAACAGCTGGGAAGAAGGTGTTCCTGAACCTGTTGGTGCATGTGTTCAGGCTTCTGTATCTTCTGACTGATGGAAGAGGATATAGGAGATCATTACCGGGGTGCAATGGGTCTTTGGTGATGTTGGTAGCCTTTCTGTGGCAGCAAGCCGTGTAAATGGAGTCCAATGAAGGGTCTAGGCCCGAAACGTCAGCCTTCCTGCTCCTCTGATGCTGCTTGGCCTGCTGTGTTCATCCAGCTCTACACCTTGTTATCTCCATGGATGGGAGGTTGGCTTCCGTGATGATCTGGGCTGTGCACACCCGCTTCTGTAGTTTCTCACGGTCCTGGGCAGAGCACCCAGGCAGTGTGCTTTCAATAGTGTATGTGTAGAAATTGGTGAGGGACCTTATGGACATGACAAATTTCCTAAGCTGCCTGAGGAAGGAGAGGCATTGTTGTGCCTTGTTGATTATCGCATCATTTTGTGTGATATAACTAGTAGTGACTAAGTTCGTTATTGTTAACACTGCCCAACCTGCTCTCTGTTTGATGTTTCAATTGTAATTATTTTATGGCAGGACCTGTGCCACCAGGTGGCATGAAACGGCAGTGCAGGCGGGAACTGGGAGGCGATGCCAAAACAAGGGGCGGGGCCCAATTAACACATTGGGCGGGGCATGGGCCGGTGGTGTCGGGAAATGGGCGTGACCAGTATCGATGGGGCGGGGCCATGAGCAGTAGGCGTGGCCCGCGTCGGAGGGGCGGGAGCGGGGACAATGGGCGTGACCAGCGTCAATGGGGCGGGGCCCGGGTCAGATGGCGTGACCTGGGCCCACAGGGCGGGGCCGGGGGTCAGTGGGCGGGGCCAGACCCGCAGCTCCGGTTCGGGGCACTGGGTCGTGGGCCTCACTATCGCTGCCCCGGAGTCGCGGGCCCGAGGCAGGGATTCTCGGTGATACCGCAGGCTTGGGAACTCCCACTGAAATACATAAAAACCCACCAAAACGAGCGCTCGCTACCATCAACATCATGGGGCCATGTTCCAATACAGTTGCTACCTTCGACCAGGATGGCCGAGTGGTTAAGGCGTTGGACTTAAGATCCAATGGACATGTGTCCGCGTGGGTTCGAACCCCACTCCTGGTAGTTCTTTTTCTCTGCAGCGAATTTGAGCAGCTCCTCACTTTTAACAAACTTTCAATTCACTGCTCACTTCAAAAAGGATGGCTTTAGAAAGTATACAAAATATTGCTCAAAAATATGTATTTTGTGATACATTTATGTCGTGCGCATTCATTCAAATTATATAAAACAGACCTTTAAATATCCATCTTGACATTTTTATATCTTAAAATTATTTAAAATATATCAAAACGTCAGTATACAAACAAAGCAAATTTAATGTTCTAAATTATATTACAAAATAAAATTGCAATATTCGTGTCTATTTATTATTTAAAGTGTTTGTGACATTTCAATATTGCGTTTTACGTTACGTGAGAATTCTGAAGAATTATTAAATAATGTTTACACGATGAGGGGTCACTGGACCCAAAATGTTAATTCTGATTTCTCTTCACAGATGCTGCCAGACCTGCTAAGCTTTTTCTGAAGAGATAGTAGGAACTGCAGATGCTGGAGAATCCGAGACAACAAGGTGCAGGGCTGGATGAACACAGCAGGCTAAGCAGCATCATTCTCAGCTTTTTCTCAACTTCTGTTTTTGTTCCTGATTTACAGCATCCACAGTTCTTTCAGTTTTCATTCATCGTCTTCTTCCAAGTCAGCCGTCCGGAATTGAAGATGTTTTGATCCCATGCCGGTTCGAAATGACTGAAAAATTTGATCTGCAGATTATGTTACGTGCAGGGTAGTTGGTGTTTGCAGGGGTAGGTAAAGTTGTTTGAAGGTTTGTGCGATCTTTTTCATGCCTTAACTTTGCCCAACAAATGTCCCCAGTGTATTCGGTGCTTTCCCAAAAGAAACCTGCTCCACTTTGGCCAGCCAGTAGCCAGCATCTCCCACTTGTCAGCACGATATTTCAGCTCATCAGGAATGTTGGGCAGGCATCCTTAAAATGTTTCCGCTGCCCTTTAATTTATCGTATTAATCTTATTAAATAAATACTTTAATATAGTCCATTTCTATAATATGTAAGGAAAGTGATAATGTATTTGCAATTAAAATATTATTTTAAAAATTTTAAAATGCACGCTGCTTAATTATTCAGAACTGCAACATCTGTAAAAAGTACTTTATAAGATATAAACCCTAAAATATGAGGTGAGTAGGCAACAGTCTTAATTTTTTTTATTCATTCACGTGATCAGGGCGTCGCTGGATTAATGTTAAAACATGTTTTGCAGATTAAGATCAGGCTGTGATCGTATCTACATCTGGATGAAATGAATTAGAAACACAAAGATTTTGGGCTCAGGAAGTGGAAATTTGTCCAGAACGTTTTCAGAATGTTCCTGTGGATTATAGAACATTGACTCCCAGTGTTCACTGTTCCACATTACAGCACAATCCTCACTTGTCACAAATGGCAGCAAGTTGAATCGTATTGTGTTTCCTGCATTCAATAACTTTCTATTTTGAAAAAAATGTACACAGTTCTCTGTGAAGTAACAAATAAATGCAAGTTGTTGCATATTTTTAACAAAGCATTTAAAAAAAAACAAACAAAAACAAAAGTCACTTGAAAAGCTCAGCAGGCCTGGCAGCATCTGTGAAGAAAAATCAGATTTAACCTTTTAGATCTGGTGACCCTCGGGGACTCTGATTTTTTTGTTCACAGATGCTGCCAGACCTGCTGAGCTTTTCCAGCAACTTCTGTTTTTGTTCCTGATTTACAGCATCCACAGTTCTTTCAGTTTTCATTTTTTAAAAAAAGTTGACTAATTTAGTGTATGCTGGATTACTGTTAATGGGTGAGTTGTAAATTCTGTGGTATTTTTCCCAGCTCCCAACAACCTAAACTGTCGGGTTATTTGGCTACAGAAGGTTTGTTTCTTTAAAAAGTTATCCTTTAATTTGTTTTTCCCCATCAAACTGGCTCAGAAAACTTATCATAAACCTAGAACATAGAACAGGACAGCACAGGCCCTTCAGCCCACGATGTTGTGCATACGTATTATCCGACTCTAAGATTAAATTACCCTGCATACCCTACATTTTACTATCATCCATGTGACTATCCAAGAGTCACTTAAATGTCCCTGATGTATCTGACTCAACTACCACCGCTGGCAGTGCATTCCATGCACCCACCACTCTCTGTGTGAAGAACCTACCTTTGACATCTCCCCTATACCTTCCTCCAATCACCTTAAAATTATGCCCCCTCGTAATAGTTGTTGCCACCATGGGCAAAAAGTCTCTGGCTATCCATGCCTCTCATCATCTTGTACACCTCTAGCAAGTCACTTCTCATCCTTTTCAACTCCAATGAGAAAAGCCCTAGCTCTTTCAACCTTTTCTCATAAGACCTGCCATCCAATCCAGGCAGCATCCTAGAACAGGTGGGATTTGAACTTGGGTTTAGTTAGTCTAAAGGGTAGGGACATTACCATTGTGCCATAACTGGATTCAAATTCAGTGCCTAATGTCACCAGCTGAAATCTTTGCTGCACAATGAGGTTACATTTCTAATTTCTCTGTACATCTGACAGAGATCAGCTCCTCACATACAAGTCAGATGTGGTCTGTCTACCTGCCTGAACCACTGACTGGAGAAACTCACTGAGCTGTTAAGAAAGCAGACAGCTCGTTAACTGATGAGACAGATGTTACCCTCTCCATAATGATGAGTGCTTACCTGTTGGCAAAGGCTTGAACAGCAGTGGAAGCATTAACACCAACCTGGAATGTTTTCCTCCACAAATGCTACCCAAACTGTTGAATATTTCAGCATTTTCTGTTTTTATTTCAGTTTTCATCATCTGCAGTATTTTGCTTTAGACCTATGGCTTTGTCCCTCTGCAGGTTGAATTTTATGTAAGTGAAATTTCACTCTGGCTCCAGATTCTCTTGGAGTGTTCTGCTTTACTTGACACTAAATATTTAAATTATCTGATAATTTGAAAACAGTAATAAAATAAAAGTAGGAGACAGAGGGTGGTGGTGGACAGTGCTTTTCAGACTGGAGGCTTGTGACCAACGGTGTGCTGCAAGGTTTGGTGCTGGTTCCACTGCTTTTGATTTGGATGTGAATATAGGAGGTATGGATAGTAAGTTTGCAGATGACACCAAAATTGATGGTGTAATGGACAATGGAGAAGCTTACCTCAGAGTAAAATGGGACCTTGATCAGATGGGCCGATCGGCCGAGGAGTGGCAGACGGAGTTTAATTTTGATAAATGTGAGGTGCTGCATTTTGGAAAGGCAAATCAGGGCAGGACTTATACACTTAATGGTAAGGTCCTGGGGAGTGTTGCCGAACAAAGGGACCTTGGGATGCAGGTTCATAGTTCCTTGAAGGTAGAGTTGTATGTATAACAAGATAGCAAAGGCATTTGGAACACTTGCCTTTATTGGTCAGTGCATTGAGTATAGGAGTTGGGATGTCGTTTTGCGGCCATACAGGACATTGGTTGGGCCACTTTTGGAAAACTGCATTCAGCTCTGGTCTCCCAGCTATAAGAAAGATTTTGTTAAACTTGATATGGTTTAGAAAAGATTTACAAGGATGTTGCCAAGCTTTGAGTGTTTGACCTATAGGGAGGGGCTGAATAGTCTGGGACTTGTGTCCCTGGAGCATCGGAGGCTGAGGGGTGACCTTATAGGGGTTTATAAAATCATGAGGGGCATGGATAGGGTGAATAGACAATGTCTTTTGCCCAGGGTAGGGGAGTCTAAAACTGGAGGGCATAAGTTTAAGGTGAAAGGGGAAGGATTTAAAAGGGACTTAAGGGGCAACTTTTTCACGCAGAGGGTGGTGCATGTATGGAATAAGCTGCCAGGGGAAGTGGTGGAGGCTGGTACAATTACAAAATTGAAAAGGATTCTGGATGGATATATGAATAGGAATTGATATGGGCCAAGTGCTGGCAAATGGGACTAGAATAATGTAGAATATCTGGTTGGCAGGGGCAAGTTGGACTGAAGGGTCTGTTTCTGTGCTGTACATCTCTATGACTCCTGTGACTGTATTTACCACTTGCTCCAATAGTACAAAATGCAATCATGGTCAAGGGGCATGACACCTCTGGAACAAAGTTTGCTCAGTAGCACTGCTGCTGAGCTCAATTTTCACCCGTTCATCATCAGCCCACTATGACGAATGTGTACAACAGACACAACAGCAAGTTACCATAGTCACTTCAACAGCACGTCCCTCACTTGAAGCCTGTTACAGCTGTTCACCCTACCCCTTCATAAAACCCTGTAGCCATTCCGTGATCCTGGCATCTAGGAGGCAACATATCTTCCCAGAGTCACTACTGAATTCCCTCCCACTGTTGCCCTTCCATACTTTTCCTTTGCCCCTCAAGCAGCTGGACAATCCACAGTGCCATGGCCTTTGGTGTGCCTGGCGTCCATAAAGGAACAATCGTTCCCACCGTTTTTCAAGGCCAGAAGTCTGTTTGTGAGTGAGGCACACTTGGGAGATTCCCTCACTACTTGCCTGGTCCCCTTCCTCTATTTGGCAGTCAGCCATTTCATCTCTGCCGGCACTTCCTTAAGCTGTGGGGTGATCACATCCTGAAACGTACTATCCACAAATCACTCAGCCTCATGAATGCAGCGTTGTGCCCCTACTGCCACTCAGAGACATCTCCTGTTCCCATGATCATCCAGACCAGCAAGACCGCCCAGGATTTCCCACTTAGCGCAGGATATGCAAATCACAGGACTGAGCTCCCCAGATACATTTCAATACAACATTGGCCCTTGCTTTTATTTTACTGTTCCTCCTACTTGAATGTAGACTAGAAAAAAGTTATTCTGATGAATAGTCATACTGGATTCAAAATGGTAACTCTGTTTCTCTTTGCTTCTAGCAGCTACCAGACCTGCTGAGTTTCTCTATCATTGTCTGTGTTTGTTTCAGATTTCCAGCATCTGCAGTACTTTGCTTTTATTTTTAACATCCAAGCATGTGATGAAAAGTGGCAAGTAACATTTAGGCAATGACCATATCCAATAGGAAAGAATTAAACAAGCACCCTTTTACAGTTAATGGCACTACCATCACTGAATCCCCCCATATCAATATTTTGGGGGCTATTATTGACAAGAAGCTGAACTGCACCAGCCATATAAATACAATGGCTACAAAAGTAGGTCAGAGGCTAGGAATTCTGCAGTGAATAGCTCACTTCCTGACACTGCAAAATCTACACTCCAATTACAACGTGCAAGTCAGGAGTGTGATGGAATTCTCCCAACTTGTCTGTATGAATACAGCCCCAAAAGCCCTCACAAGCTTGACACCATCCAGGACAAAGTAGCCCACTTGATTAGCACCACATTCACAAGGATCCACCCTATTCCATCACTGACGCTCAGTAGCAGCAGTGTGTACTATCTACAAGTTGCACTGCAGAAATTCACCCCAAAGATTCTTAGCTAGCACCTTCCAAACCCACTACTGCTACCTAGAAAGACAATAGTAGCAAAGCCTGGGAGCACCACCACCTGCAAGTTTTCCTCCAAGCCAATCACGATCCTGACTTGGAAATATATCACCGTTCCTTCAATGTCACTTGGTCAGTATCTTGGAACTCCTTCCCTCAGGGCATTTTGGGTCAACCTGCAGCACGTGGACTGCCGTGGTTCAAGAAGGCAGCTCACCACCACCTTCTCAAGGGCAGCTAGGGATGACAGTGAGATTAGCTTAGTGTCAATACATTAATCCTCCTGTCCTTTGTCTCACGGTCAGTGCTAAGACTGGGCACAAATTTGATTTGGAGCTGGTTTTCTCCAGAGATAGGATATTCTCCTGTGAGGACAGTTTACTGCTCCAGAAGAGGATTAGGAACAGACTGAATTCATGGGTATTATCATAAATTTGGGGTCAAGATGCTGAGTTGGGATTGACTGCCTGCTGGGAAATATTGGCATTACTCTGACAAATGAGGCCAACAATAAGTCACACCCTGGGGCTGTTTGGTATATTATAAAGCTTGCTGAGAGCAGCCTGTTATTACATTTAAAACAGTGGATCTTTGAGAATTGGTTACAGGTTTCCAATTTAATCAAAGGATTCGCATGACATAAACAAGAACAGTACAAATAGATCCTGAACAAATTAGAGACTTTAACATCTGTCATGCTTTATTTTATGTCTGCTAAATAAACAGCATTTTTCATTACAATTCTACTGTGGCTTCTTTTCCATAAGTTCATTAGAAGTAATGAGATCATGTCTGATCAGATATTCCTCAATTCTACTTCCCTGTTTTTTTTCTGTGATCCTTGATTCCCTTACTGATTAAGGATCTATCCCAGCCATGAAAATCCTTAATGATTTAGCCTCTATGGCAAAGAATCCCACAGATTCACTATCCTCTGAGAGAATGATTTCCTGCTCAGTTCGATCTTGAATGGGCAACCCTTACTCTGAGATTATGCCCTCCTATACATTCTACAAGGGGGAAATTCAGTTACCAGCAGTGGGGGTCGAACTCATTCAGATGTACATCCATTGGATATTAAGTCCAATCCCCTACCACTCAGCCCTAC